GGGTTACTTTGCTTTTACATTATTTTACATATATGTCGTGATGCAGTAGAATCAGGCAATTGTCAATTTTGGGCATATGGATTTATTGGTATCATTTTAAAGTTTGTTTATTTATGTTGAGCTAGCTGGGCACCCTTTCGATGAAAGGAATGAAAGGTGCATTCACATCAACTGAAAGTCATTGGCCTACTATATTTACACTCTACTGGAATGAAGTAATAAATCCTGAGCAATGCAAAAAATAAAAAAGTTTGGATATAGAGATGTATAGACTGATTCTCTATTCCACTTTCATGGTTGAACTCTCTAGAATTTCAAAGGCATGGAATCAGTAGTGCGAACAGCTAGTGAACGGAAACCTCACTTGTTTACAATGGCATCTTAGAAAACCGACTTTCCCAAGAATAGATTTAAACGAAACTAATGAAAAACTGAAAATTAAACTACAGTGACTTCTGATTCCTCAATAAAACTGCGCCCTTTAAATGATTCTGAACCACTATTAATTTTGTCAAATTCGAAAGTTGAGTGGTTCGGAAGTTTTAGGCGCGAAAGTGACAAACTTTCACAAATATAATATGTTAGATAAAAGTCATGATATTTGCGATTAAAGGAGGTGGGTGTTGCCTGGTTTCAGAGGTAAAGTTTGCAACAAAATGGCTGCCAAAGTTTGGTGACTTCCATAGCTTGAGGTTCCTTAGAAACTGAAACTTTACAGGGCATGTGCCTTTAATCATCGTTTTTCAGTAAAATCCACACAGAAGTGTGTTTTTAAATGGACATGAAAGGTATTTAATTTTTTATTTTTTATTCGATAATTATTTCCAAACTGGAGGAAAAGCCAGTTTCTTCCATTTTCTTATATTGGCGAGCGCCTGATTATACTACGGTGCCTCACATACGGGACTTTAAAAAGACAAAAAAGAACCCAATATCGACAGTCCCTTTACTGTCTGTGCAAAACTTTTACTTATTGAACAGTTTGAAGCAAAACAAGTGGCTCCCAAGCGGTTTATTGGGGGGGGGGGGGGTTGGGGGAGGAGGTGGCTTACCTTTATAATTTGGTCAGGTGTGTGACAAATACAGTGGAACTCGGATTCAACGAGATCGCCGGGTCTGACCTAAAATCTCGTTGAATCCGAGTGTTCCTTATAGCAAACACGAGGTTTTGTGTAGATGATTACAGGCACTGGACAAGTAATGTATAATGAGAAGTCACAAGTAGTGCCTGAAACGCCAGCATATTATGAGCTGTGTAAAAAAAAAAAGACCGATTCGTTCAGATGGCACACGCCAGTGTCATCTCGATTGTTAACCAAAAAGTTGTGTTGCTGTGTAGAGCCTAGCATACAATAACTTTTGATTCCATAGACCAGCGCACAATTCATTACGTAGATCTACGTCAAGACTAGCTTATCAATGTAATAATGATCAATTGCCGATGGGAAAAAAAGACTGTGACGCGTTTGTATCTGCAACGTTCAACGCCCGGACCGCTAGTGCCCCGCTTCCCCCCTTCCCCGACACGCATACACAGCCACACATGTGCAGGCCGCCCATCCGACCCCGACACATGCCAGAGTAGACACACATGCACGTGGCAACAACGCATGTGTTGGTATGAAAAAAAGCTGCTAATTGGTCGCATGCAATCGGCTAAGTGAATAATGGTTCACGATGCAGGTGCAATGGATCATGGTTTCCAGGAATAGATAAAGTTCGTTCTGGGAGAAAAATGAACAAAGCTACGTCTGCGGGGCTGTTCACTCTGGAAGACCTTGTTGAATCCGAGCTCGCTGATTTAAGTGCTCGTTGAATCCGAGTTATTTTTATTGATTTTAAAGTAGAGAAAAAAACAGGGAATCTATCTCATCTTGTTGAATCCGAGTTCTTGTTCAATCCGTGCACGTTGAATCCAAGTTCCACTGTGCAGTCAAACCTGCTCTAACGGCCACCCATATAAAACAATCACCTGTACAATTGGCCTTTTCCCGTTTCCTCCCTTGTGTTTTTTGGGGGGTTTTCTCATTATAATGTCACTGCACGAGACAGTCACCTTTCTCCTTAACACTGGGTGGCCGTCTTAAACAGTTTCGGACCGCAGCTTCAAAATCTTGATTTCTTTATGTGAATAGAGTGGAAAAGGGGACAACTCAAGTGTGGAGAACTAAAAGAACATGTAAATTTACGAGCAATTAGATCTAAGCATTTTAATGATAATGTTCAAAACCTTCTCTCTATTTCCTCTTGGAGTTAAAATACCAGTGTGCTTACTTGCTTTCTCATAGCCACTGATTGTCTGATACGAATAAGATCATTGTCAACATGTCACCTTGAAAAAGGGGCACAGGACAACAACAAAAAAATGTTTACACTTTTTTAATAAAGAAGACCAAATCTGACAGCAAAAAAAAACAACAGATTTTTTTTTAAAGTTGAAACAAACCTGTGTCACAGCCTGTGACCAGAACATAGCGGTCCGAGAAACCAGAAATTTTGAATCCTCTGTAGATGTATTGTAGAACAAAAAGTGCTGCTAACAAGACCAGGACTGAGAGGATGGTCTCGAATGACAAAAGAGAGGCACACATCTTTCCTGTAGGGATGCGCCTTTTCCTAGTGACAGAAACACCTCATACAACAAGTCAAATCCTGAAAAAAAGTGTGAAATTGTAGAGGTTAACCCTTCCATTCCCATGCGAGTATATTTTCAGCAGCGCTTGTACCTCCCACCGTCCCAAGAGCAAACAGTGTAAGTTTCGGGCGGTACCGAATTTGCGCATTCGAAATTAGGTAACCTAACTAAACTTTAATTTTCATAATATTAGTTCATTTACCTTTAAACATTGTTTTATGTTATTATCCAAACCTCATCACAAAGATACTTACATAACTTTTTAGAATGCATGATGTATCTTTTTCTGAAATACTGCTGTATTGGCTGGGACTGGGGTTAGGGAGTGCACAAATGTGGCTGGCGCTAGAAGGGTCAATTATATATTGACCCTTGCAACTCCATAAAAGGTTATTAATCATTTAAGAGATAGAACCTCCGAATTTATCATCCATCTCCTTTCTATACAACTAAGCTAAATGAGAAAATTTGCGTAAAAGGCTTTTCTGAGGACACAACATCGGACTGAGCAGAGCCTTGAACTTGAACTTCCTTGAAAAATAAAAACAGCTACAAGTCAACAAAAAACAACAGCTTTAACAAGACTAAGCTAAAACCATAAAGACTAGAAAATTATAAGTTATAAAGAGTGTAAGAGTGGTAAACCCTTCTTTTTTTTATTGGGTGATAGAAATCCTATACCAGTTTTGTAGTATGTATAATATAAATTAATCACACCCTAACTGAAAACATAGACACAGTAGAAGACAGCTCTTAATCTATGTTGTGCTCTTGGATTTTAGGTCGAGGCTGCAAAGTGTAGGCCAAAGCATTCAAGAAAACAGCACATCATAAAAATAAACAAGTTAATCAGAGAGGCATATAAAAAAACTATATTGTGTTCATGCAACTTCTTTCATGGGTAATTCTTCCTATGTTAGAAGCGCAGACTCTGTCGCAGTGCTTGCATGTCAGTGACGTGGATCGAAGCTCTGAATTTCCACTGCTTTCCTTTTGTTGTTGATGCTCTCAGCCTGGTTGTTTCTGAGGCTGCTCTCAAATATAGTTCATTCTTTCCTTTATCCTATTCCTCCATGTTTTCCTGTCCTCAGCTATTTTTTCCCAGATATATGCTGACATCTACTCCAAACTTAGACTTAGTCTAAGCTGTTTTGCAGGTGCGTCTTTGTACCTAAATTTTGGCCTTCCTCTTGGTCTCTTTCCCTGGGCAAGTTCTCCATAGAGAAATTGCTTCGGAATCTGGTTGTCGTCCATTCTCTTGATATAGCCCAGCCATCTCAATCTTCTTAAACACAAGATAGTTGTCATGTCTGGAGGTTTGCCTGTGCCATCACTTCAACACTGGTGACCTTGTCACACCACGAAAAGCTTAAGATCTTGAGGCAGCATCTGAGATGGAAAATGTCGTGGAGCTTTTCTTGCCTGCTGTACAAGGTCCATGTTTCAGATCCACAAAGGAGTGGAGTGGGCTGAGGACACATGCTTCGTAAATCTTGATCTTTGTTTTGATGGTTAATCTTTTGTTTGCCCATGCTCATTTTGTCAGCCTTCCAAAAGTTCTTGCTGCTTTTCCTATCCTGAAGTTGATCTCATCATCAAGCGATGTAGTAGAGGTGATGCATAATAATAAATGATATATACCATTTATATAGCGCATTTAACACCGTCAACAGCAAGCTCTCTAAGCGATTCACATTATATATAGATAGATGTTACACACATAACAATGCATACATACATGTAGATTTTCGTAGGTTCCTCTCTGTCGACTTTGTTGATCAGCCAGGGCTTAAATCTAATCTAGATCTAGTTGTCACACAACAAATGCCAAAACTGTCAACTCTAATGCCTACCTACGAATGGTTTACCTTCACAATCTACAGGCCTCCGCCCTATAACACTCCTACTCGCAATAGCAACGACAGAATGCAGCTTGAGTCTTGACTTGGGCGGGTTAACTTTCAGTTTCCACTGCAGTAGTCTGTAGTGTTGTCTGCTACTAAAATCTACTATTTTATAACTTACATTATAGATCTAGATCTAGATTCTAGATCTATATATTAAATAAATATTGTAAAGAAACCTAGATCTAATAGTAGTGTAATTCTAACTGAAGTTGAAGTTGAACTGGTAATGCAAGGCGGATCTAGGTCTAGAGATCTAGTTCTAAAGGACGAGATAAATTACCTGGGCGGTGGCTGAGCGTTTAGACAGTGGTGGTAATGATAGTCACACTACTCTGCTACTCCGAGTTACCTGACTGTGCCTGAATAAAATAAACGAACGAAGCTTCTGACACTGACTTCTACTTCTGTCACCTCTGCCGAAAAAATGGACTTGTTGAATTGTTGGCAATTTCTAAACAACGAAACCAATGAAAAGGCTGTAGATCTAGGCGTAGGAAGCCAGTACAAGAGGTCAAACTCCTACTCCTTACAGCACAGCCACTTGAAACTTAATAGAACATTAAATAACGTTTCAGGTATAGAGATAACTTTTAGCAAGTTCCATTTGTTGCTCTTATTGACGCATTATCACCTCTTTTAACGTTATCTGTGTCCAGTTTTTACCGTCTATGTCCAATTGAAGCCTATTTATTTTTGTTTACAAACTCGAACTTCGAACTACAAAAGTTCAAAGGTCAACAGCTCCCTGTCTTTTTTTTTTTTTTTGTATGTGTATCAATTTCAAACTGCAATGGTAGCCTATCGCACACGCATTACACCTTTACAATCGTGTTATCTTTACAAAAGAAATGTAACAGCCAGGCCACGGACATTATTACTTTTCTCTCTATCAACAGGTAGAGAATCTCTGTGTTGAGCTATAATATATGCCTTAAAGAGAAAATTATAAAAACTGTTAAACAGCGGGGAAGATTGAAGAATACCGGACCACTCGTACATTATTGCGCGAGAAAGTGGGGCGGGTGGTTGGGGTGGAGGAGGGGGGACGGGGGGTCCAGGGGGGTATCCCCCCCCCCCCCCCCCGGACAAAATTTTAATGAATAGATCTACCTGTCCAAGATTCTCTATTGATAGATATTAAAAACGGGAAAATCATAAATTCCTACGGTTGAGACACAGGCAAAGTCAGTCCGCTGGTCCGGTATTCTTCAATCTTACCAAACAGCGTTTCAAACTGGGACAAATTATTATACATATGTAATTTCACGATATCCCTCTGCCCCCCCCCCCCCTTCCACCCTTTCCACTCTCTCAAACTTATTCATTTTCCAGTAGAATATCTACCTAGTTACTTTAGCTTTTTTTTTTCATCAGCCAAGAAGCCAGTTTGTATAGTTTATAATACAAGGCAGAATAACAGCCACCTATTGAAATGGTACACTGGTATTTCAACTCCAAGAGGAGAGAGAAAGCAAAACACAGCCTGTGCAAGCTGTAGCCAAGTCCATCGCAACCTTGGAGTAACTATTATTAGGAGAGGCCGCGAGTCGCGTAACGTGAAGCCGCTTCAGACGACTGTCGGCCATGTTTGTGAGATCAGCTCAGTTCTCTCAGTTGTAAACTTACTGTCAACCGAACGGCAGTTTGCGTAGCGTTCGGGTCCGGTGGGCCTCTCATTCAAAGGTCCCGGGTTCGATCCGAGAAGTGACGGAAAAATGTTATTCTCTAAAATTCTACTTTCTCTTTCGTCTGCTATCGTCTCCACTTTCTGCCCCTACCTCCTCAGGGCTTCGCACTCTTTCTGCAGCCTTTCTACTGCTACTCCTTGGCTCCTTCTTACTTCTGTCTTTCAGCCACACCCCTGATCTTCTGGTAGGAAAGATCTACCCCTAGCCTTCTCGGACAAGGGTGAAAAAATCTCGGAGGCTCGACAGAGGTTGCGTATGCAAGTTGCGCAAATTAAAGGTCCTTTAGTGGTCTAAATCGATAAGAGTAGGCTTCGGTCGCCACCCGCCCAAAATTCAAAATTTCCTACCAACTTAAAATGTTTAATGTGTACCTCGCACTCATATGACTTATGCAGTCGCGAGTGCCGTAAAACACTTATAAGGCCTACGAAAAATGTTTTTAAAAATATCAGTCTCCAGCAATGGCACTGAACTTGATGGCGAAGTGCCTTCTGATTTAGCCGTAAATGCATCTCACATGCACAGTAAAAACAGAACGAAAAAAGATTGCACGTTTGTGTCTAGATCTAGTCTGGCATACTTGTCAATTGACTATGAGAAAACTGTTGCTTAAATGGCTGGTTTTGTGTTGTTACGGTTGACAAAGCATTTGAAAATGTGAAACCTTAGTTGACTCCAGTGTGTCAAATGTAACTTCCTTGCTGTTTTTGAAGTCTCGTCGGAGGTTTGACAGTGCCTTCAAAGAATGTCATTGAAGTGCGTTTGGTGTGTGAATAACATTTTCGATGTCATGTGTAGTCTGTCTGTGCAGGGGGGGTGACATTGTCAAAAGAGAAATGTCACAAATTAGTGCAATCTGTCTTGAAATTCTTCTTATTATAAGCCTATCATTTCAAATTTTGTATTAATTTTTCAATACACTTAACAGTCTTTTGTAAAATTTAGATAAAGTGTCTGGGTGTTTTAAAGGTGCCCTTCCCTCCTCGTTTTATTTGGGGGGGGGGGCTGTTTTCTTCTTTTTTTTTCTTCTTTTTTTTCGGGGGGGGGTTAATTTCCACCATCATACTTCACTCTTATCTGCCTTGCCCTCTCCTTCCTTGCCCTCTCCTTCCTTGCCCTCTCCTTCCTCTTTCTTCGCCCATCCCATCCCACCCTCACTACCATATTTTGTGTAATCATTTTCAATTTTGTTTTATATATATATATATATATTGTTGTATGTTTAAGTCAAGAAGTCTACGTTTTAGTAAAAATAATGTCAGTAATGACATTATTTTGCACTGATGAAGTTCTATGAACGAAAAGTCTGCAAATTTTGTTATCCCGTTTATATTTTTGTTTTGATCCTTATTATCTAAATTTCTCCTCTAAAACAAGTTTTAAAAATTATCTTACCGTCACAATGTGTATACATAGTACATGTATTACTAAATGTTCGACTGAGTGAGCTGGTAATTTGATGCAAGTAAGATTTATTAACTTCCTTATTATATTACAACTGTGCGTGGGTGCTTATAATGCTGTAATTAACATTGACAAAGAAATTTCGAGAGAAAATGGAGTCCGAGCAGCTTGTTTTGAAAGGAGATTACGCAGCGTACGCTGTATTGTTTTGAACTTACAAAGATGGCGGCAGGCCCGATAAGCTCCGCCCTTTCGGCTTCAACTTGGTTGGAACTGTTGAGCGGGCGACGCAACGTTAGGGCCTCTCCGTATATAGTTACTCCAAGATCGCAACACTACGTTTTGAAAACCCGCCAAAGATAAGCCAGAAAGGTTAATCTGGGGACAAACAGAGCCAAAGTGGACCGGTCAAAGGTAAACATTAGTAAACGATGCTTTCTCGCTACGGCTGCTCGCTCCCATTTCGTTGATTTATTAGTTATTATTTATTAATATTAATAACAATATCTATAGATCTAGGCTATCATTTATTTGTGGGCTATCTTTTTTTGGTGATTGTTTGTGTTTAGTAAAAGTTTTATGTCACTTGCCACACAAACAAGTCTCATAAGTGCACTGTTTACATGTAGATCTAGATCTAGATTCTAGTCTAGATCTAGAGATATCTAGTCCTAGTTGAGCTGAAGGGCGTCAACGTAGGCCCTATTGGATAAAATTCCCATTCTTTACATTGTCGAACGTGGGACCTAGATCTACATGTATTGAATGAGAGGAGAAAACGTAACCTAGTAATAATAGTAACCTCCAGGCTAGACCACAAATATTTAGTCTAGATCTAGAATCTAGGTCTATATTTCTCTGGATCTAGACTCTAGATCTAGATTAGATGAGATATAATTTTAATTCAGTTTAGATCTAGATCTAGATATTTAGATATCTAGATTCTAGATCTTGTCTAGATCTAGATCTAAATTATTAGTATAAGATACACGTTACTACAGGGGCACTTAGTGTGACTTACATCTCTAGATCCAGATATCTAGAGTCCAGTGTAAAGTAAACGAGAGCGCAAGGCAGGAGTGCCTACGTGCGATGTATGAAGCTTGTAAAACGGCCAAAAGGTCCTTTCTATTTTACACTGGTCACCAACATGAACATGGCTCCTTCCTGGATCTTCACAAACATCTTGTTCTGGATCAGCAGGTGCCTAGTCACTGGGGTACCAAACTCAGCCTGGATTATTTTCACTAGTCAAGTAAAAATAGGATTAGATCTAGACGCTAGATTCTAGATCTTGATCTAGAGATTCTTAGATCTAGACTCTTCTAGGTCTAGATTACAGATGTAAGACTGACTAGATCTAGCTCTAGCCTCTAGGAATGCCCAACAAATATTACCGAACTTTGAACATCTGTAACTGGCTAAAAAGTGAAGTAACATTGGTGATTTTGGTATCAAATTTCTCAGAAAAATGAGCTCTATCCATCTAGCACATCAAAACAATTGTGCGGGAGAAAAATTATGTCTGATTAGACTGAAATAATACTCAAAATATGGTCAAAGAGAGATAACCGTGAAAAATACTGAAGGGGTGAATTTTCAGGGTTATCTTTCCTTTAACGCAAACCCAAAGATTATAGCCTAATACAATAGTTCCCAGCGTGACGTTCTACGTGTCAGACATGATGGGTACTTTCTTACTCTTCTTATTGGCATTGCCGGCGTGCCCCAATTTACATGTACAATCCTTGAACCCCCATCTTGCTTCCCACTAGCTCTAGCATTTTATTTTTTTTTAAACACCATTCTGTCTCGAAAAGTAGGCTACTAATTCGTCTGTTGATCCGCGCTTTTCACGTCCTTGAGTCTGTGTCTCAGAGTGGGTGGCATCACTTCCGTTTACACGTGGGTGACACCACTTCCGCGAAATGAAGTACTAACATTAGTGTAACATCTTTGCTTGTGTCGGAAATACGCACGAAAAAATAATAATAATCCATTTAAAAAACATATTACGTTATACAGACAGGAGAAGGTAATTCCCAATGCAAAACAAGTTTACAAGTCATTCTTTTTCTAAAATAATATTTTAGGCCTGATAATTACTGCTCTGCTAACCCACGTGCTTTTAGCGAAACGATACAACCAAATCCAGCTTTTGTATCAAAGTGAACCGGATGTGTCTTAATAAGATTGTGTGTGTACACAATCATCAATGACGTAGTATATACACAAAAAACGCTGACGTATATGTGTACTCATTCAATGATGACGTAGTATTTACACAAATAACTATGACGTTCATGATATATGTGTACTCATTGAATAATGACGTAGGTGCGTAGACAAAGAACGATGACGAAGCTAGTCCCGTAAAGGGCAGTAATTAGCAGATTACAATTTTTTTAATTTCATTGTTATGTCCCTTATTTTTCGCTTTCTAATATTCGCTTTTTTTCTTTTCAGAATTTGCATTGTTATGTCCCTTGTTTGTCACTTTTTTATTATTCGCTTTTCTTCTTTTCAATTTATATTTTCGTAATTGAAATTATTTCAACCTCCAAGCGCTATAGCTTCATGAATTTAAGGGGAACGTCGCCGTCTAGACGAAATTACAAATTGTATAGATCTAGATCTATATCTAGATCTAGTCTAATTCTTTGGTTTCGAAGTAGATCTAGGCTTAACCAACCCATTTTCAAAGTTCGATGACGCGCTGCCATTTAAATCCATTGTTGATGTTGACAGTTTGCTATAAGCTGAGTCCACATTCTGGTATGACTGTACTAAAGACTGTCTTAGGGAAGAATCCGATCTGGAATATGCCAAACATCATTAGATCTAAAATCTAGATGATTTACACATCAAAGGAAGAAGCTTCGACGTTCAATGCCGGGTAACTGCTGACGGATCGGAGAAGTAGATCTAGAACTAGATCTAGAATCTAGATTAGATCTAGATTCTAGACCTAGAGGAAGGACTTTCGTAACGAGCAACCACTAGATCTAGATCTAGGCCTATGAGACAGAGCAGAATTGATGGCTAGGGGTAGATCTAGGGTAAGGGGTAGATCTAGGGGTAGGTTTAGGGTTAGGCCTCTTCTTTATTGTGTTTGATGGGGTGATCGCTCGTTACGGAAGTCCTTCCGGCCTTCCGATTTAGATTCTATATCTAGAATCTAGATCTAGATCTAGATCTAGATATATCTAGATCTAATGTTGATTCTAAAATCTAGATAGATTATATCATATAGATCTAGATCTAAATCTAGATCTAGTCTAGTTTAAGCCAAGGCTACCCTAGACTAGATCTAGATCTAGTCTAGGATCTAGATCTAGATTCTAGACTCTATAATCAACTAAAATAAAATTGTTTACGCTATGGTCCATGGTCAACACCGTTTTGTTTTGGTTGTAAATAGACTGGTGCCTCATGTCGTGCACTTGTGGTTGTTGATTTTTATAGCATTGTGAAGCTGAATCTATTTTGCTATAGAGGCCTACACATGTTCTCATTTTTCACACTTTGTTGTGTCGTTGACTGCGATTAACTCAGAATTACAAAGTTCTGTCTAACATTTTGGGTCCTTTTCAGTTTCAGTTACTAAGACCATGACATCAAAAACCAATTGCTCTATCTCCTCTGTCAAAATAGATCTAGAATCTAGATATAGATATAGATTTATCTAGATCTAGATTTAGATTCATGATATTAGATATCTAGTCTAGATTAGATCTAGATCTAGATCTAGATTCTAGAGACTATTCAAAAAACCTTGACATTTTGTGAAACTCAAAATTCTTCATGTCAAATTTTTCAAAACTAGATCTAGAAGAAATCTAGATATAGATATCTAGATCTAATCTAGATTTAGATCTAGATTCTAGAATCTAGATCTAGATTCTAGATCTAGCCTAGTCTAGATCTAGATTCTATTTCTAGGCCTAGGTACTGAGCAGAATATAGACTTTATTAATTTTTGTAAGGTAGCGGTGTTGTCTTTTAGATCTATCTATAGATTTAGATCAATATCTAGTTTCTATGGCAACAACGTTGCCAAGACAAGGCATCATGTTTTAATTTCCCAGACTTCTGCTTTTAGAATTAAAGTAGGCCTACTGTCCAGCTGGCCCTAATTATGTTCATGTAGATCTAGGTCGCAGGCCTATCATCTATGTATTCTATGGCTTGTGGCGGCTCATTTCACAGAACATATATGGCTAAATTGTAACCTGTACAATAAATCTTGCTCCAAGCTGAGTTTCAAGTTGTTTAAGTCATAAGTGAGCATGCTTTGTTAATTGGCTTCAGAATTTCTCAAAGTAAGTTAATTTTTCTGAGGTTAAATAAGCTATTGTTGAAATTCAGTAAAGATGTCTGTTTCGTTCTAGGCTAATGCGCATTGAGCATTTTTTAGAAAATGAAAATGCGCGGTATAAATGCTATTGATTATTATTATTATTATTGTTGTTGTTTGTTTGTATTGGAGTCTAGATCTACTTCTTTTTCTTATCAAACTGTTGATTTGATGACTATATTATATTGGTTATATCCCCTGCAGTTACCATTGGTACATAGCCTAAGCGAGACATCTAAGGCGGAAAAGAAAACAAACTACAGTGGAGTCTGCTGAAACCAAACACGGTTCATCCGATAATCATATGGCGGTAAACCAAAATAAAATAATATCTCGGATTTTTTTTCTTCTGTTGAAGCAACCTCTTTGAACCAGATATCAGGCTGAAGTCTCATCACTACGAATGACAAAGTAGGCCTACAGAGAGCTATTTTGTGAGCTGTTATGCCAATGGCGAGGGACGTTCTAAACTGTCTACGAATAAGATGTTATAGGTGTGATCTATCAGGGTGAACAAGGCTCTTTGAAAACCTGTCTTCCTGTCATTGCCACATTGTTGGTGTTTGTTTATTTACATGTTTTTGCTGTAATAATAGATTGATATACAGTCAAACCTGCCCTGACGGTCACCTCTATAAGACGGTCACCTGTACAAACGGCCACTTTCCATTTCCCCCCTTGCGTTTTTTCTATATAATTTAACTGTATAAAACGGGCACCTGTCTAACGCGGCCGCGGCCACCTTATTTTAACACACAACCCCTATCATACTAAGCAATAATACCTGTCTTAGACGGTCACCTTAGTGACTCCAATAGGTTTTGTCATAAATTGTGCATTGGCCCCTGGCGTTGTGGGCGAGCCGTCATAATTCAATCACCTGTCGTTGTTGTTAGGTAGTCCCTCCAACCGATCATGTTGCGTAGGCCGCTCCCACTGTTGACCAATAGCTACCAATTTACAGCTGCTGGTGAGGTAAGCGTGTGATCCCTCATAACCCATAAGCCCCGCCCAGAACTCATACACAAATCGTAAGTGAGATGAGTGGTCACTGTTTACCCGGCCCAGTCTGTAACAAAGTACATGTAACAAAGGACGTCAACATGAACTTGTTACAGAAGCGTCCCTCGTTCTCCGAGTGGTGGCGACCCATGTGTCTGTTTTAACATGGCACTCGGTCTTCCTTGTCTGATACATTTCATTTTATTGTCACCCTTGTGCAAAATCAGCGACAAAATAAAAATTACAAACGAAATACAAACCAACAACACCAACAAAGACAACAACAATGGGGCTACTTTCAATTGGGGCCTCAGATGGGAATGGTTTGTTTTCTTTATCTTGATCAGTCCTGCCTAAGATGGCCACCTGTCTTAAACGGCCACTTTTCTCCTTGACAATGTGTGGCCGTCTTACACAGGTTTGACTGTAGTTGGTGAAACATACAATTCTATACTGGAAATACTATTTGAAATAGAATCATGCCTTTTAAGGTTCATTGAGAAAGTTGACTTCAGATGGATGTCTCTATAAAACTGATAAAATAAGGAGCATACTTTTGATTATTCCTGATGTGAAGAAATTGCATTCTCTGTCCCCAGCTGTTTCCATCTGTACTTTCTACCTGTGCTGAAAGTGGCTTGAAAGAGCACCAAAACTGGTCCCTCACACCGGTGGAGCAACTGGCTGTTGCTATGGAGAGAAGCTTTCTAAGTAAAACATCAACTTTTTCTGACTTGAACATTCCAAAGTAAACCATGGTCTTGTTCTTGTTTAGTGTGTGTTTGTGTATGTGTGTACTTAATCATAGTGTGTGTGTGTGTGTGTGTGTGTGTGTGTGTGTGTGTGTGTGTGTGTGTGTGTGTGTATGAACTGTATGTGTGTGTATGAAATGCTTTTAATTTGTGTGTGAATGTAAAGCAAATAATAATGACAACAAAGACTATAGATAGATTGTGGTTGTGTCTGTTACCATAGCCAGCTGTTGACTGAATTTATTTAATACATAAAAATTGTATGGAAGGTTTGGAGGGGGGTTACTTGGCCAGTGCCCACCATCTTGACCCACCTTGTGGGTAGAGTCTGTTTCTTGTTTTGAAAAGTTGGCAGCTGTGTAAATGGAGAGTTGTGACTGCGATGTGTGTGTCCTTTAAATCATCCTTCTTTTTGCAATTTTTGTTCTTTCTTGAAACAGAATTCCTGCTTGCCCAGCCACTGGAGGTGAGGGTGATTCTGAAAACTTGCACAACAGGCGTGGTAAGGAAGTGAAATTTCTTTTTGTGCCATTAGGAAAAGATGGAAGGGATATAATCCATAAAATATTTCAATCAGGATTGAGATCATATTTTTTATGTCCCTTTGATATGTTAAGATAAGATAAGATAAGATACATCTTTATTGTCCAGATCCTGGCACATTGGTTTGGTGTTCCACCACGAGTACACACACACACACACACACGCACGCACGCACACGCGCACACACACACACACACACACACACACACACACAAACACACACACACATGTACACACGTGCACGCACATGCACACACAAGTAGGCTTACAATCACATACATAATATAAATGAGCAGCAACATAAACAATAATAATCGTAAGCTAGATACACACTCAATGTTATTTTGATGCATGCTCTAAGGTCGTAAGTACACTAAACAAGATAGATGGTTAAGATGGAAGCATTTTGATATATGATGGTAAAAATGACCTTCTGTATCTTTCTTTGTTACAGATCAGAAGCATGGGTCTTTTACTTCTGACTGATGTTTTTATTTGAGGGAACAAGGGATGTTTGTTGTCTAAAAAGATGGAATTAATTTTCTTAGTGCAAGCTGTTATGTACAATTCATCCAAGTAGGGAAATGAAGATGTTGAAATTTTACATGCTTTCCGTATTAGTTGATTTAATTTTTCTTTATCTTGTTGTCTTGTGTTCCCGGCCCATGCTGTTATACAAAAATCGATAATACTTTCTATGGTTGAATGGTAGAACATGGACATCAATGTTTTATCAACTTTAAAATACTTTAGCTTTCTAAGAAAAAATAGTCTTTTGTTCACTTTTTTATGCAGGAGAGAAGTGTGGACACGCCAGTTGAGTTGTTGTGTCCCTCTTCTCATCTGTGACCACTCACACAATGTTCTTGTCCTGGCCGCCCTTCAACACAGTGGTCCAGTGGTCGACTTTTCTTTATCATCTCCCTCTATACCTATGTTGCTATATTATTCCTTATATTACCGACGTCTGTGGTCTCATAATCTTGTCGCGACCCCAGTGCTTTCTTGTCTTTTCTCCATTTTTAATTACCGTGAAAACAGTTCATAAAAAAGAGTGAGCTTATGTTGTTGTTATCGATCCAGCAAGAGCTGGGCTCTCGCCCTTCTGTCCAATGCCATGTAGTGATAAGTGCAGGTTTGCTGCAGTTGCTGTAAAGTTCCCTAGAGTGTGTTGTCAATGTTAGGTCTTGGAGGGAGAAGGGTAGCTCTGATGTCATTTAGGGCTGTGCATTGGAACAGGTGATGATCCACAGTCTCATATGCATAGTCACACAAGGGACACATTGGGGGAAGTTCCGGGAAGAGTGAGCTTAAGAAGATGTCACATTTTCATTGTTTGAAAAAAGGGAGATACGATAGCGCTGTTCTTTGCAACAGATTCTATCTATTCTATCAGGCCACCTTCTTTCCTATCAAACATCTATCGTCTTTACCTCCCCTCCTTCTTTTTCATTTTGTTACTCTCTTGTAACACGTCTAATCTTAGGCACTTATATGACCTTATTGGGTTGCAAGTGCCGTAAAACTCTTACTAAAACTAATGTTAATTTTATTATTATTATTTTTTTTATTTTTTTTATTACAGTATAATACGGATAGTTCGAATTCGTCAGGACCGGCCTCGGTAGTTTGAGGGATCCGTAGTTCCAGGGATATCTTACAAAGATAAAGAAGAAGAAACAAAAAAACCCGGGCCTGCGCGCACAGTTCGACGGATGCATACTTTTGGGTCTTCTGTACGTGTTCGACCTATCCGTGTTAAACTGTATATTATTGTCATTAGACAAATACTAATTATATGACAAATAATACTACTAATAATAATATACACTATATTAATTTTTTATTAGTAGTATTATTATTAGTCGCACTGTTAATTCCATTTTTTGTATTATCATTAGCACTAGCTTTATCATTATTACTTGTATTATTATCATTTTCATATTTATTTATAGTATAGGCTAAATGAAAAATTACCTAGATGTGAATTTGTTGAGAGAAAGAAAGAAAAGAAGAGGGTTGTCATTTGTCATCCCCAGCAGTGTTCCCTCCCGTATGTGAGAGACAATCCCTGTGGTCTAAGGCCGGTCAAGCCAGTGCCAATATGGAGTCAGTATCTCACTGACCGCTCCCCTACCTGTGTGTGGGAAGAAAACTGTGGTAGGTGAGAATGTCAAAAAAATGTCATTGGTAAATATCTGTACATTTCTTGTGTGAATTTGCAGGTTTCAAATTACAACTATAGTTGAACCTGCCTTAATGGCCACTTGTCTAAGACAATCACCTGTACAAACGGCCACTTCCCACTTCCCCTTTGTGTTTTCCTGTATTATAATAACACCTGTCCAAGACAATCACCTGTCTAAAACAATCACTTTTCTCCTCAATAATGGGTGGCTGTCTTGGACAATTTCCACTCTACTTTGTGATTTCTCAGGTACCCCAGTCTCTTGTAGATTCAGCACTTTATTCATTGGTAGAGATTACAATTTTTTCTTGAACTTCAAATGTTTTTTTTCATTCAACAAGGAACAATTCTGGAAGATAATGTTGCCATTTATTGTATATGACATCAGTAAGATCTTATGGTATCTGGGAGCTGTTGAAACATTTTGAATGAATTTTGTTCCCATTTTTAATCCACGGAGCAATGAGATACTTCTAGTTTGAACTATCTGGTAACAAATGTTTTACGTTGTGCCAGTCAGGCTTTCAGTTTTAGTTGTACTGTCCTTGAGTTATAGCCCTTGTCACATGGATCTATAAATGTTGTTGTTCTTGGAAATCTGAAGCCTGTAAGTCCTGTATCACTTCTTAATGAATCAAAAGTTTTTATTTTACACATGTTATTTTATGTGCGACGTGATGACCGGTTGTTGCAATCCGTACATAATCATTTTCTCTCTTTCTTTCTTTCCTCAGGCAGATGTCTTTAGAGAAAGTCAGAACCTGACAGAAATGTTCAACTATCTGTCCGGAGAACATTCACGACGCTACCATGTTGAAGGGGACATCAGCGCTGCTTACTCAGAGATGGTCATCAACAGGATCTGTTGGTAGATTTGACTTGGCAAAAGATGAAGCAGATAAAGAGATGTGGATAACTGAGTGGATCTGTGTGGATCAGAAAAAAACCCTCTTGTCTAGCTCATCCTGAATATTCCCCACTGTTTTTTAGCTCATCTCCAGTATTTTTTATATGATCCCTATTATTTTCTTGGGAGCAGCAAGAACAACAGACACCATTGCTGCAGCGCAGGACAGGGTAAAGTGGAGGTCCATGATTGCCCACGCCAGTCGGCAAGGCACCGGATGATGATGATGATTATTTTCTTTGCTCATCCCCAGTATTTTCTAGATTATTTTTATTATTTTCTAGCTCATCCCCAGTATTTACTATGTCATCCCTAATATTTTCCAGCTCGTCAACAGTATTTTTTAGCTTTTCCCTGATATTTTCTAGCTCATCCAGAATATTCCCCACTATTTTTTAGCTCATCACCAGTATTTTCTAGATGATCCCTATTATTTCTAGCTCATCCCCAATATTTTCTAGATCATCCTGAGTAGTTTCTAGCTCATTCGTAATATTTTCTAGCTCATCCCTAGTATTTTCTAGATTATTCCTACTATTTTCTAGCTCATCCCTAATAATTCTTAGCTTATCTCCAGTATTTTCTAGATCATCCTTTATATTTTCTAGATCATCCAGAATATTTTCCCTTTTTTTACTAGCTCATCCCAGTATTTTCTAGATTTTCCATATTATTGCTAGCTCATTCCTAATATTTTCTAGCTCATCCCCAGTATTTTCTAGGTTATTCTATTTTCCAGCCCATTCCAAATATTTCCCACTATTTTTTAGCTCATCGCCAATATTTTCTAGATTACCACTATTATTTTCTAGCTCAACCCTAATAATTTTTAGCTTATCCCCAGTATTTTCTAGGTCATCTCTAATATTTCTCATACCTCATCCAGAATATTCCCCATTATTTTGTAGCTCATCCCCAGTATTTTCTAGATTATCCATATTATTTCTAGCTCATCCATAATATTTTCTAGCCCATCCCCTGTAGTTTTTAGATTTTTCTTCTTATTTCTAGCTCATCCCTAACATTTTTTAGCTCTCCCAAGTATTTTCTGGATTTTCCATATTATTGCTAGCTCAATCCTATTATTTTTCAGCTCGTCCCCAGTATTTTCTAGCTCCCCCCTAATATTTTCTAGCCCATTCCGAATATTCCCCACTATTTTTCATCTCGTCCTCAGTATTTTCTAGATTATCCCTAATATTGTCTAGCTCATCCCCAGTAATTTCTCGCTCATTCGTAATATTTTCTAGCTTATCCTCAGTATTTTCTAGATTATTCTCATAATTTTCTAGCTCATCCCCAGTGTTTTCTAGCTCACTCCCAGTATTTTTTAGCTCATTCCTAATATTTTCCCTTTTATTTTCTTGCTCATCCCTAATAATATTTAGCTTATCCCCAGTATTTTCTTGGTCATCCCTAATATTTTCTATAGCTCATCCAGAATGTTCCCCATTTTTTTCTAGCTCATCTCCAGTAGTTTCTAGATTATTCTTATTATTTTCTAGCTCATCCACAGTGATTTCTAGCTCATCCCTAATATTTTCTAGCTCATTCCAAATATTCCCCACTATTTTTTAGCTCATCCTCAGTATTTTCTAGATGATCCCTATTATTTTCTATCTCATCCCTAATATTTTCTAGCTCATTCCAAATATCCCCCACTATTTTTTAGCTCATCGTCAGTATTTTGTAGATAATCCCTATTATTTTCTATCTCATCCCTAATATTTTCTAGCTTATTCCCAGTGTATTGTACAGAACAAAATTGTTATCGGACCCATGCTCGGCTTTCTCTCAGTTATCATTTTCATCATCACCACCCCCATCATCTTCATCTTTATCACTATCATCATCATCACCATCACCATCATTTTCATCGCTTTTGTCATCAAATAGGACATTTTCAAACACAAACCAAAGCAACCCTGAAGCAACTGGCGTCTGCGGTGTAGCGGTCGGGTGCTTCACCATTGTACGCAGGAGACCCAAGTTCAATTCCAGAGTAGGGAGAAGATTCCATCGATTATCTCGGTATTTCTGCTGGGATTTTGTATCCTTCTCAATCCGGGTTGGTCCTGACGGGCAGGGTCAAAACCCGTCTCCTAGATAATCTAAATTGTGTTGATGGGGGTGTAAAAGACACCTACTAAAAACAAACCTGAAACAGGTCAAAGCTGCTGTATTGTAGGATGTCAATGGTCTCTTGACTTGAGATGTTGAAATTCTGTTTGTTGAGTTTGCAGGTGTTGTAGACTTGTTGAAAATGATTCTGTTTGCTTTATTTCACTGGTTCAAATCAATTCACAATGACTTGTGCCTCTTACAATAACTGTATAGATTTGAAATATTTTAATGACTTCATGAACAAGTGAATGCTGCATAAATGTTGCTATTGTTATTTTTCTGTAGTATACCTTGTATTACTTCTATCCATTTTAATAAATATATGTTTGAAATGTACTTTAATTTTTATGAGTTGACTTTGTCTTTTTTTTGTTGAAAATATTTTTGCTAGCACGTCTAGATGCATTTACAGAGTTACAGATGGTCTCGATGAAAGAACAGAATGTCACATGTTTGTCAAACTAGGGGTTGTGTACCGATTTTTCAAAGTACTAAAATTAAATGAATTTAAAGCGGTTGAATGTATGAGGGTAAAAGTACAAACTATGATGTTCAACAGGTTCTACATATATATATATAATATACCTATATGTATATAATATTTATACAAAATAACAGTTGTTTTCTACGAGTAACGAGTATGAGTCTGAAAAATATAAGTTTGAATTCTCAAAAACTTTTTAAAAATCGGACATATCTGATATTTTTTCCTCCAGCACATCAAATGTATGTCTGTGTTGACAGTGACTGGTGAAGCATGCGAAGGTTTACATTTCTTAAAACAAAAAAACCCCTTGAGTTCGCTTTTGACTTGAAGATCACTAACATTATGCACTGACATCTTTAATAATTATGTAGGCGACAAAGACATCAGTACATGACATTATCTACTTCTCTCTATGTCTCTCTTGGTCTGTTTGTCTGTCTGTCTGTTTGTCTTGCTCTCTCTCTCTCTCTCTCCCCCTCTCTCTCTCTCTCTCTCTCTCTCTCTCTCTCTCTCTCTCTCTCTCTCTCTGTCTCTCTCCCTCTCTCTGTCTCTCTCTCTCTCTCTGTCTCTCTCTCTCTCTGTCTTTCTCTCTCTCTGTCTTTCTCTCTCATTTACTCTTTCTGTCTGTGAACGGTGTATTTTCTCCCTCTCTCACTTATACACTCCTTCTCCCCTCTTGCTCTACTAAGTAACAGGTATCATGATAAGTTCGATTCCCAACAGAATGTTCAGGAACTCTGCTTTTGGAGCAACTGCACAATTTTGAAAGATGCTGCGAGAGAGAGAGAGAAACTCACAACTCAACTCTAAAAATACCTGTACATGCACTTCATTGCCAATGAAGTCAAAAAGACACTTTTCAACCACAGATCAATCAGTTTTTGTCAAGTCCTGTCTTGACGTTTATTCAAATTACACATTGTCATTCTTTCACCAAAATTCGCATCACCAAGAATCACTTTGGAACAAATAGATCTCGATCTAGACTTACTGTTTCTGAAATCAAGAAAGAAAGACAGACACAGGGTAGACAGAAAGTTTACAGAATTTTTAGTTATAGTGAGAGTTTTACAGCTCTTTCAACACAATTAAGTTATAATTAAGTGCTGCGGATTGAAAGTGTTACCAAAGACCGTGTATACCCGGTCTTTGGTGTTACTGCTGAAGAGTAACATACAAAGGAAAGAAGGAGGAGACATAAAGACAAGAGATGTTTGACAAGAAAGAAAGAGAAAACCACACCAGAGCACCCACTAAATACCCATTTAAGTTTACATAACAGCCTTTGGAAAGCCCTTTCCTTAATGGTCATAAAACAGTTTAATTAATGGTGATATTTTTATTAGATAAAAATTTATGGCAATTTTTCTTACCGAACAGTATAAAGTTCTGAATTCTATCCTATGAACAAAAAGGAAACATCGTTTTTCAAACGCATATTTCTCTCGTAATTTTAATCTATTGGTACTCATATTTAGCGAACAAGAACTACAACAAATATATAATGATGTGACAGACCCAGATTTTTTACATTGCACTGAGGAGAACAATGATTAAGTCCTAACTTTTGCCTGTGAACACAAAGCAAACATCTGATACATGAGAATTGCATCAATCTTCAAACGCATATTTTTCTCTAAAGTTTAATCTATTGGTTCTCATATTTAGCAAACAAGAACTACAACATGTATATAACGATGTGACAGACCCAAAATTTTTACATTACGCTGAGGAGAACAGTTATAAAGTCTTGAATTTTATCCTATGAACAAAAAGTAAACATCTGATACAAAGAAAATGTCATCAATTTTCAAATACATTTTTCTCTGGTAATTTGGATCTGTTGGTACTCATATTTGGGGTACAAAAACTACAACATATATATAATAGTGTGTCAGACCCAATTTTTTCTGTTTTTGTTAAGAAAAAGATTACAGACTCCGGAATTATGACTTTTGAACAAACAAATGTGGCCTAAGTGTATCTTCCCCGTCTCGGACCCAAGGGACATAACAATTAAAATGAGGTTTTGAGCCGAACAAATGCTTTTTTGAGGGGTTGGCCTTAAGTGAAAAACTTAAGGCCAACCTCTTAAGTTAGAGATTTTTTTCTCTAAAAACGTAATTTATTTGGTTATCTACCCTGCCACATTAAAGGGAAATAACCCTACACAGTAAGATGAGTGAATGAGATTTTATTGGGACTCTCATTTTCAATCACCCACCCTCACCTCCTTGGGTTAACTGTCAGGGAATGCACCATGAGTGGCACGCCCCCCCAAAAAAACAAAACAAAAAAAAAAACCCCACAAAAAACCCCCCAGATGGACAAAAAAATAATAATTTAAAAAATAATAAAAAACAAAACAAACAGCACCCAAGTGTTTTCCTTGTTGATTTTTTTTCTTCTTCTTTTCTTTCCTGGCACATCACAATAACCCTACTACTTTTAGATATAAATTTTAGCCAGCATATGAAACATGCTTTGTAGAATGTTTTTAAAAAAAAAAGCAAAATAAAAAGTTTGTAGTTATCAGGTCTTATCTTAATGGTGATTATGAAAATACTATATATAATATACAGATATTATGTATATCACAACAGACTGTAAGGGCTTTCACTCGGGCGCACCACCGTTATACAGCTGCTACCCCACTGGACTCTGTTGTGGACGATCTTGGTTCAATTCTCATCAGAATGTTCAGGACTTGAAAATAACAGCACAATAATGAAAGACCTTATCTCCGCTTTTTTCTAAGTCTAAGAGATGCGGATGTATGAGAGAGAGAGAGAGAGAGAGAGAGAGAGAGAGAGAGAGAGAGAGAGAGAGAGAGAAAGAGAGAGAGAGAGAGAGAGAAAGAGACAGACAGAGAGACAGAGACAGACAGAGACAGACAGAGAGACTGAGAGATAGAGAGAGAAAAATGGTGTCTGTGATGTAGCGGTAAGGTTCTTTGCCATTGCATGCGCAAAGTGGCGGTTCGATTCCCAAGGAGGGAAAATCTTTTAGCTTGTATCTCCGTCTATCTGCTGGGATGTTGTATCCCGCTAAGCCGCGGTTGACCTTGACAGGCAGGATGTGTCGGTAGGAGCACTAAATAATTACAATAATTAGCCTACAATATAGAGACAGGCTGAAAGAGAGACAGACAGACAGAAAAAGAGTGAGTGAATGAGACAGATACACAAACACGCTCACACACGCACACTAAAGACTCTCAGCTCTAAGTAATTCAAAAACAAAAAGACACTTTTCAAATACATCACAAAGCTTTTGTTAAGTCCAGTCTTGAAGTTTATTCAAATAAATCTAACACAATCTCTCATAAAAATTTGCATACATTATCTGAGAACAGTGCGGGATAGATACTCTAGACTGCACTGTCTCAGAACAATCAAACAATCTAATGTAAGGTTAAAAATGTACAAGTGCCATCCTTTGGCAATTTTAGCAGTTTAAAGAAGAGAAAAAAACAGACATGGGATTCATGTTGCTTGGATCTCGCACCTTTACAAATTTGCGACAGCCTTGCTATGCTTGTACACACAGTCTAAAGAAACTACGTAATTGTAGACAAATAAAACAATCTTCCACTCATATCTTTTTTCCCCCTGGAGTCAGCAAATGTGGGTAAATGTTTTCGTCAGAACGGCAAGAGTCTCATCGCCCCGGACAGCCTCGGGAAGCTAGAACGGGGGACAAAATCTAAAAGAAGAATTGTCAAATATCCTCCATTAGATCTCAACAGGACATCCTCTTTGTTTCTTCTTGGTTTTCAAATATTTTAATTGAATTTAGGGGCTGTTCAAGTATAATCTTACACCTTTCAGGGGACTTTTTGCCCCCCACCCCCTCCTCCTTTTACATTTGTCTCTTAACCCCCCCCCCCCCCCCAAAACCCCACCCGCCGTAATATTACATTGTTCGCATATAATAATAATATATGACATTTATATCCGAATTACAATCATTGATCTACATGTTTTACATAATATTCATGAAAAACATGCATACACACATTCATGCACATAAAATAATTTATGCAGTTCTACATTCACTAAAAAATAACAGAGTAAATCATTCAAGCTAAATATTGCATACACTCTTTCTTACTAATAGGAAAAAAATTGAGATGCATGTCAATGTCAAAACACCCCAAAATTACAGTGCCTTGTGGGTTGTGAGTGGACGACAAAGGCTAGCAGAGAAAACTGTACACAAACCGGCAGTAGGCAACAGGAAACCACTGCTGTAATATCCCAAGAATAGTCATGGAAAAGTACCTTCATTTATCATCAGAAAACAGCGTTAAGGGGGTTCATGATCCAGCTCTGAACTCCCCGCTCGGTAGGGACTGCCATGGGCAGCAATTTTGGATGAGCCCAATCCTGAAAAATAGAAACATCTCAATAAACACCAAAATGAAAGTCCTGAAATGCTATGTTTGATCAACCCTTCTATATGGCTGTGAATACTGGACAATCACTAAAGACAGTGAAAATAAAATAGAAGCAACAGAAATGTGGTTTCTTAGGAGACTGCTAAGAGTATCGTGGAAGGAAAAGAAATCAAATGAGGTAGTGCTTGATGAAGCCCACGTGGGACGCTCAATGTTAAAAACAATCAGGAAACGACAAATGCAGTTTTTGGGACACCTGAATAGACATAATTAACTGGCAAAATTGAGGGCAAGCGAGGCAGGGGTAGGGAACCTAAACAAATGGGCAACAGGGAAAGATCAGGGAAACGTAGCTTTTTTGAGAGCATCCGAGCAAAGGAATGAATGGAAAACCGTGATCGCCGATGTCTGTCGCAGATCTGGCTTTGGATGATGATGATGATATTTATATATATAATATAATATACATTTCAGTAACATAATAAAAGGTCATAATATGGTAATTTGGCAAAAACATTTTATGAAATATTGTAAAATCGTAGTAACATAGTAATAATATGTACATAATATGTATGCAGCAGAATGTTCAGATAATTTGTAATCTTCAGTTAGGTAAAACACTTGGTCACATGTCAAATGAACTGGCAGTAACAAAAAGTGTATTATGACGCATTGGAATCAGGCGCTCGTCAGTTTTGGGGCATATGCAGTTTACTGGTATCATTTTATCATCTGAACGCTTGTTCATCTGTCTTGCTATTTAACTGCTGTCTTTCAGCCACAACCCTGATCTTATGGTAGGAAAGATCTGCACCTAGCCTTCTCGGACAAGGGTGAAAAATCTGGGAGGTCTCGTGTGCAAGTTGTGCACGTTAAACATCCATTGGTGGTCCTAAAATCGATAAGAGTAGTCTTCGGCCGCCACATGGGCAAAATTAAAAATTTCCTACCATCTGAAAAATGTTTAATGTGTTCTGCGGGCTCATATGACCTTATGCAGTTGCGAGCGCCGCAAAACACTTACAGCCAAAAAAAAAAAGATGAAGCAAAATACCCATTTGTCTTGAATAAAAGTCGAAACTGAAATTAAAGGAGATCGAGGTCGTCTGGTGTCAAGGATTAAATTAGCGAGAAAATGGCTGCCAACTTTTTGTGATTTCCAAAATCCTGGGTATCCTTAAAAACTGTAAATTTACAAGCTTTTGTGCCTTTGATAAAGATTTCTTGGTAAAACCCACACCACACAGAAAGCTATTTAGATGAACGTAAAAGGAGTTAAGCCTGAAAAGAAAAAAAGAAAACTAAAATTGCCCAAACCCCAAGAAAAATGTCGGTTTCTTTGATTTAATTATTTTGACGAGGGCCTGATTTCACCACGACGCCTCACAAATTCTGATATTACACCTCCCTGAATTAAAGCTGCATGTTGTCGTATAGCAGGTGGGTGGAGGGTGCCACTGGTAGGTCCTCCTTCTTTACTTTCCCTAGACTGTTTCTGTCTGTCAAATCTTTTCCCAGCACAAAGTGAACATTGTGTTGATGTTCTTCTTTTTACACAAACTTCATTCGAGCCTTTATTATAATATATTTATTTGGGATTTTACAACAAAAACATAACACCACAAGAATCATTCACTCTGGGGGCTCATGAGTGTCCCCCTCTTTCTCTCACTGATTCATTTGACAATAATACACTTGCGGCTCATCCCTGTCCGCTTTTTCTTTCATACCCTTCCATCCTCCCCCTCCCCCACTCGCATACACATAAATGGTTTTTCATTCATTCTCGTTCGTTCCATGTACAAATTAAATTTAATAATTCATTTAATTTCGTTCACTCTTGAGCTGTGTTCTCTTCCACACATCGCCTTTCGACCCCTGGGTAGTCGAGTAGTTGTTACTCTGTGCTCAAAGAGCAGTCTCGTCTTGTCTAACTCGATCCGTCCATCCGGTCTCTGTCCTCGCTGTTTTGCTTGCTTTCAAAACATTTACTCACGCTCTCTCGCCACAGCTCAAATATCTTTCAAATACTGCCCATTTTGTTTCTGTATTAAAGGTGTATGTAGTTTTCCGTTACAAAGCAAACAAAGCTGTAGTAAAGGGTTCTGGTTGGACTTATTCTGCCGTGATCTGACAAAACGCATTTTTATCAAAATCAAGGTTTCGAGATAATCGCGATTTAGTGTTTTTTGCTAATTAAACAAACAAATATCAATGTTGTTTTTGTTTGACCATCCCACATAAAAATATATCTCATTTACCATGACTATACCAAATTTGATTGAATTTGAGCTAAAGACAAACAAACAAACAAGAAGAATGCGTTTTATCAGATCTTCTTTGTAGAAATGCGTTTTATTTCCAACACATTAATCCTAGAATGATCTGACAAAACGCATTCTGCGTCCTGTTAACTGTGATCCGGTAAAACGCATTTAAATGCGTTTTATCAGATCATCACTAAAGAAGTTGTGTGTTTTGCTTCCAAATTCACTGCTGGTGAAACGTATTTTCTACTGCTGCAAAAAGGGTACTAAAATATCTTGTTCAGGAGGAGGAGGAGGAGGAGGAGGAGGAGGAGGAGAAGGAGAAGAACAAGAACAAGAACAAGAACAAGAAGAGGAAGAAGAAGAAGAAGAAGAGGAAGAAGAAGAAGAAGAAGAAGAAGAAGAAGAAGAAGAAGAAGAAGAAGAAGAAGGAAGAAGAAGGAAGAAGAACAAGAACAAGAACAAGAACAAGAACAAGAACAAGAACAAGAAGAGGAAGGCGGTGGAGGAGGGATAGGAGGAGGGGGGAGGAAGAGGGGTTTGGGAGGAGAAAAAAACTTAGATCTAAAGAGTTTAAATGTTTCTTTCTTTATTACTAGTATTTCTCATAATAACATAATAATAATCTTTAGTCAAAATCAAAACATTTGATACACAGTATGCAATCACGGTAAAAAATGTAATGTACGAAATCGCAATTGCCATACTGTGTATCTGCCCGGTCTGCTCTGTAGGGTCAGCATTCGGTACCGTGGATGACCAGATTATAATAATGTAACCTAATAACACGGCACAACTCCCGGGCTACCTCACGGGCATCGTCCTCTTGTTGTTGTTTCGTCTCAGTCTTTTTTTGACACTAGAGATGTTGGGCTGTAATTTATTGATACTGCTCACTCTGGTAATGGTAACTAAAGATTCGGTCACTTTTATACAGCTATTAATTCTGGTGAGTGAATATGCCATTCGGTGATTTAAATACGTACGGAATTCGTTTCTTGACCACCAGTTTATTGTGAAGACATGTGGTGACTCCTTCAACATGAATGCACAACGACTGTTCAAAGAACTTATGAAAAGGTATGTTGCAATCATGTTATTTTCATTGCATTTGGGGGAGCTTTCATTAAGTTTTCGTTTCTCCTGTCTTACCAGTCTTGAATTGGGAACATTTTAATGGTCTGGAGTGACTGTTGATGTAATGCCTTTGAAGAAGACAAATTTAATAAGTGAAATGTCTTTTTAGTTTATTTTTGACACTTGCACCACTGTTGACGAGTTCCTAAAATATTCGTCTAGGTGTGAGACTGTTGTTAACATGAAATGAACCATTCCACCAAATCACAAGGACACCTCCACTACTTATTCGTTTTTAAACACGTGCCTTTCTGGAAAATAGTCCAAGGAAATAAAGACGATCACAGCTCTAACGAAAGTTAGGAACTACCCTTGGTAAAACGTCGGCGTTTGCAAGAAATCCAAAGATCAGCAGCCACAGCAGCTCTCGCTATAGAGGTTCCAGCTCTCTCTGGTGCTGAGGTGATCACTGGTCCATCAGATCCCCATGTTTCTACCCATGTAAGGAGTTCACGCCGACGCCTTCATTTTGGCAACGATGATTCTGGTGAAAGTGACCATCTGTCAGAGAGCTCAGGTGTGTCAAATCCATTCATTGACTCGAGCGAAAACAGAGAGTTCGCCGAACTGTCGCCAGTTGCAACATCAACACCAGTCCATTGTCCCTCGACTCAGCATGCACCAACTTCAACGCCGATGGTGAGAGAGCGCAGGTCTTTGTCTGATCTCCTGTCTGAATTTGACAATGCTCCATCTCCTTTGCCACCGATGCCGCCTTCGCAACAATCATTTGGAGAAAAGCAAAGTGATTCTCGAGAATATGACTTTTCATTTCTCAAATTGTCTCTTACCCAAAAGGCAGGCGAACCACCTTTCTGTGTCTCTGGGGAAAGTCATTCTGTTGCATCTCCAGTGCAACCCATATCAGCAAGACCAACTCTCTTTCTGCCTTTGTCGCCATCTCAGTACATAATCCCCTTATCATCAGGTCAACTTGAGGAAACCCCCTCGTCCTCAGATTAGCTGTATCAGACTCAACCCCCTCGTCCTCAAATCAGCTGTACCAAACCGCCTTGTCTCCATCGCCCACGATAACACCCGTTGTATCTGAAAGGTACGTATCGCTCTCTAAAGGCAGGGTACCAATCCTACCGTAGGCGAGAGCAGCTAAAGTTCGCCAATCTTGGAAACCAGATGTGTGAGATATGTCTGACTTTCTCACACCATGAGCACCAGCCGCTGGCACTAGACACAGACTGTGAGACGTGTCAACTGTTCACAGCACACAAGAGACGGGTTTCATCAAACCATAAACACTACGACAAAGATAGAGAGAAAGACCCTGAAGTAGGGTCCGAGATCATTGTATCGGCGGACATGCAAACGGTCGTTTTGTTGCCTTTCAGGCGGGGCGTCAAAAGCTGTGTCTTCCCAAACCGCCATGTAGCTTTCCACGAGACGTTCGCGCCCTTAGGACAGCAGGTGAAAAAGAAAAGCCCAAAGCAAGTCAGATCTGTCCTCTGGCATGAGGCAACGCCGGGAAGGTCTGCCTCCGGCGTTACTTCAGCTTTTGTTAAAGCAATTTGAAACATGGCTGAGGATGCAAAGGACATCATTATATGGGGTGATAATTGTTCAGGACAAAACAAAAATTAGTATTTGTTCACGTCCCTGGCAAGGCTGTTAAATGACAGCAGCAAATCTTTTCTCCACAGGGTCACTTTGAGTACCTTGAAACGGGTCATACATTCATGTCCTGTGACTCGTTTCATGGTATGTTTGAGAAGAATATGAGAAGGAAGGGAAATATTTTCGGTTTCACCGATTATGCGGCAACAGTGCAGATCGCAGGTGGGGGCCCGAAAGTATTACAAATTAATTAACTATTCAAACATTGTAAATTGGGACAAAAAGGTCACTTCAGCGATGCATGTGAATATTCCACGTATCAAACAGATGATAGCACTTAAGTTTTTTTACCAGCGTATCGACCATCCGTCTTCAACTGTGATATGATGAAACGCATTCTTTTGTCAATCTCGGGAAGAAAAATGCGTTTTACCAGATCACCGGTGATGTGAACGGTCGATACGCAAGAAAAAAAATGCGTTTTGTCAGATCATCTATGAAAAAAATGTGTTTTGTCAGATCACATTGGAAATAAATGCGTTTTAACAAATCTAAAAAGCTAATTTATTTAAAAACTAGTCGCAGTTAGGCTTTCATAATTATATCTCAATTTGGCTTTCGACATGTAGAATTCATTAGTGGAATTAAAAAAATTCCCGCGTAAATGAAAAAATGCGTTTTGTCAGATCACGGCAGTATTGGCCTGTGGCCAGCTAATCATACGTTGTTTAGCTCCAGAGCTATTTTGGTGTTCTACTGGCGTGTTCGTATGCGGATTTCTGTGAGTTTTTTAATACGTTCATGCATGTTTTTCTTCGACTTTTTGGGAATATTATTATTATGGTACAGTAGGTATTTTCTACATTTAAATCCCTGAGAGAGAGGATTAAAGCTTCGAGATCTCAAGTAAGTACGGGGGGGAGGTGAAAGACAAGGACTGAACTGAGGTAGAAAGCATCTGCGCAGAAATAGAGATAGTGAGAGAACAGACGAAAGAGGAGGAGGGAGGAGATGACAGGGCTGTGATGGTAGAACTAAACTTTGTCAAGGAAAAGAGAGGCCCACGGTTCTATAAAATGAATACCTCTTAATTCTACAAAAAAATTCACTTGGAAAATTTTAAGAAAATTTTATTGTCAGGACTGCTGAAGAATATTATAAATGCCTGAGGCATTTATTTCTGTTGGGAGATGATCAAATTAAAGCAAAAGAAGTAAGTCAACAGTACTGAAGATTTAAACATCCGGAGAGAAAAACTGACATAAGAAAGTTTAGAAAGAGTACAAAAGCTCCAAACCAGCTACAGTATGAGTACAGAAGATCTGGTCCAGCTACAGAAAGAACCCTTCCATAAACCTGAAGATTTAGAATTAACCCTTTCCCTAGAGAGCTTTACATTTTAGCCAAACTGGCATAAAAACAATCTGTGGGACTCTTTCCAAACTTATCCAGTACATGCCGTCCTAGCCTGACAAGTATGGATTTAAGTTTTTTTGGGCTTGTGGCGCATCGACAAATTATCCGCTGAGAGGTTACCCATACCTTGGGAAGGAAGCAACCTATGCCAGACCAGCTGAGAGATGTGTGGGTATTGCTGCAAAAACAGTGGAAACATTGACAAAGGACTTCCAAGGCAGTGGTTGTAACATAACCTGCGACAATTATTTCACGGACATCAAGCTAGCGGAGTCTTTAGCAAAGAAGAAACTCACAACGATAGGGACCGTAAAAAGAAACAAAACCTTCCTTCCAGTGGATTTCCCGGCAAAGAAAGCTCTTCCTCTAGGGGACTCAAAGTTCCTGTTCAGGCACGAGACTAATCTGGTATCGTTTCAGAGTTACCAGCCCAAGGATGTCGTGCTTCTTAGCACAATGCACAGGAAGCCAGAAATTTGCCCTGAGACCAAAAAGCCTGACATAGTGCTGGACTATAACAAAACAAAAGGAGGGGTCGACGCTAGGGACAAAATGGCCCACGCCTTGTCAAAGCGATGGTCTTTGGTTGTGTTTTTCAGTATGAAGGACTTGTCATCAATTGCTTCCAGGGTGGTCTTTAGGGAGAAATATCCTGCAGACACTCTCTCAGATGAGGACTGCAGGCAACGTTTCAACGCGGATGTTGGCCCATCTCTGGCACATGCCCATATAGTTCGGCGTGCAACTGTGCTTACATTGCAGAAAGGTGTGAAAGAGAATATTTCTGTCGTGCTGAAGTCTCTTCAACCCACACCGTAGCCAACAGCATCAGGTTCAAAACCACCAAAGCAGGCAAGGACGGAGGAAAGTGCTGCTACTGCAAAGACACAGAAGAGATGTGCACTGTGCCCCTCAAAGAGAGACAGAAAAACAAAAGCAACATGCACCAGTTGTCACTCTCACATTTGCCAGGAGCATACTGTACTATTCTGCCAGAATTGTTCTTTTGCTTCCACTGAGATCTAAAGTCTCCACTCAGATGTTCAGCTGTTACTGTTAGTGAGATAAGCACATGTAATACATGTATAGACAATGCTCTTTCATGTTATGCAAAAGTTAGGAATAAAGGGATCTGTTTGTTGTTCTACTACATATGAACAGAAAAGTGCCCATTTTGTTTGCACAGTATAGGCCTACAGAAAGGCTGACATCATCCAGACGGAATTACAAATTCGTTTAAAAGAAGAAACAGGGCACAAGTGTGAGAGCTGGGATTAATCGGATTGAAAACGGGGAAAGAAGGAAACAAATTTTTCTGTGTTGGAAAGATGCAGAGCAACAGGTAATATTATGTACAATTCGTAAACTCCATATATAGCAGTATAAACAGCAGTATAATCTCTTCGAACGAAGAAATTTATGAACTATTTATAACTCATTCGCTATGTATTATTTTCGGCTTGTGGACGAATATTTTTCAGGAGGGCGAAATGAGATGGTGACTAGTGCGCAGTTCACAGGTCTTTGGAGCCACAAATTCCAATGGCCTAAACATCAACTTAATATATATTATATACAAAAATTTTCAGTATGGTTTGTAGAACACATCTGTAATGTTTATTTGTGTATTTGTCAACTTTGGTTTCTGTAAAAGGCGATTATGCAACCCAATTTTGCTTAGATGCGGAAACAATTTGAAAATAAAAAATATCTTTGGTGAAACTAAAAAAATATGTTTGCACCTAGTCAAATGATGCATCTAAATAAACATAAATGAATATAGAGCTGGAAAATATTGAAAAATTTGCAGTTATTTACATACATTCTATAAAATTTGTACATTTGGATCACATCTGATATTGAAAAAAAAAAAAAAAAATTTATCTTGAAAAAAGGACAAGATGCATTCACAAACAGAAAAAACCACTCGTATCTTATATGGAATTGCAGTTGGATTAAATCTATACATGTCTTGAGTGGTACCTTTTGTGTAATTTCACCGAAAAATAGTGATTTTGGGAAGAAAAAAAATATTTTGAAAATTTAGATTGAGACCTAGATCTAGCACTAAAAAATATTGATTTCTCAATAACAGAACACTGGCAATTTAAGTCCAATAGTATCAATATTCTAAAGAAGAGTCCTATATTTCTTTAGTGAGCAAAATAATGATACATTTTGTGCTGTAAAAGCAGGCTACTAAAGACTGGTGTCTGGGCTATAATTTGGGCATTGTGATAAAACCAAGTTGCATAAACTTCGAAATCGTGTTTCAAAACTGAATCTAAACTTCTGATTTTCTGTTTAAACGCTTGACCCCGAAGTCAATGTTATATTATAACCTTTATTTTAAAATGGATATGTGGATTGGAATAAAATCTAAGCTGGATTCTTAGGTAGGTTCTCAAGCCGTTGAGGGCGGCTGGCCGTAGCGAAGTCACTTTTGCCGCGCCGCTGCCCACGGCTTGGTGTAGCGAAAGAGATTAACTCCATAGCAGTAGAAACAGTAGTATAATTTCTTCAAGCAAAGACATTTTAGAAGAAGTAGGCCCTATATTATTTTATCATCGTCTATATCTGGAAAATAAACATGAAGAGCAATCATTTCATTAGCTTAATAGGCCTACCGGTTTACGGTAAACTTTGATATCTCCAGATTGGGAAGAAAAAGACTTCCTTGACAGCCCCATCAGCAGAGATGAAGTTCTTGCAGCACTCCAAAGCAAAAAAAAATATTTAAAAAATGGGTCCGCCCCTGGATTTGATGGAATCCCCCTGGAATTATACAAGGTCTTCTGGACACAAGTTCAGCAACCTCTTTTGGATTGTATATTGTTACATATATAATAACAATAATAATAAACTGAATTTATATAGCGCATTTCCACAAAGAAGGGCTCAATGCGCTGTACAATAATACAAAGAACATATGAAGCGCACAGCTCCTATAGTAATCCTCTTTCTCTCTCTCTCTCTCTCTCTCTCTCTCACTAAGCTCCTATAGTAATCCTCTTTTTCTCTCTCTCTCTCTCTCACTAGTCTCATTCTGTCTGTCTGTCTGTCTGTCTGTCTGTCTGTCTGTCTGTCTGTCTGTCTGTCTGTCTGTCTTCTCTCTCTCTCTCTCCCTCTCTCTCTCTCTCTCTCTCCCTCTCCCTCTCTCTCTCTCTCTCTCTCTCTCTCTCTCTCTCTGTCTCTCTCTCTCTCTCTCTCTCCAGTACATCCTTGAAAGACAATCCCACAAAGCTTACCCAGACACCCTCGCACACACATATATATATATAGACAAGAAGTTGGATGCCTGAGCATCTCTCAGGAGAAGGGGAAGACCTTAGTCCATAAAGGGAAGGGGCTCTGCAGGGAGTAGCTAAAAAACAAACAAAACTGGAGGCCTACTACACAAACGAATGCAGATTATAAAATATTAGCTAAGCTTATAGCAATTAGGTTACAGAAGGACATTCAAAGTGTAATACACACAAATCAGTATGGCTTCATGAAAGGTAGAGATATTGCCAATCTGTTTAGAGAATTGGATGATTTACTTGAACATCAAATGGAACCACACTCGAGGCAGACACCTTGGTCTCTTTAAGCATTCTCATAAGGGTTGTCATCCTCTTTCTTGATTTCCTAGAGAGAGAGAGAGGGGTGGGGGTGTGAGGTGGGGGTGGGGGAAGAGGGAGGGTAAAGGATCCTTGTTAGTCTTCTTTAACCTCCACCAAGGAAGAACTAAAGTTACTAACGTTTTGATCTTAGTTCTTGGATCTCTGACAACAATCGAGGAGCTTAAAAAACAAAAAAAGATACTGCTAGAACCGATACCTAATGTTTTACTAAAGATGGTAAATTACAAGATGGTTCACTCCTCTCTTTGAGCCTTTCATTAAAACAAGTGTCCTCAAAACCATGGTGGCACCCTCTGAAAAAAGCACCCACCGGCTGCCGTCAGACAATCTGATATACAACAACAAACATGACAAAAATAACAATCCTTGCTCCCTGCTCCCAGGGAAGGATGAATGGACGGACAGAGGGAAATACTGACCGACCATTTCAGCCTATTTTCTTTTCTTTTTTACAACACTTTTGTCTCGTGTCCCCGATTTTGGAGCCGATATTTGTAAGTTAGGTAAAAATGTGCCAACATGGTATAAATTGTTATAATAATTATAATACTACTAATAATAATAATAATAGATAGCATTTGTATAGCGCTAATCCCCGCTCAAAAGCAAGCTCTATGCGCTTCACAATCTATACTATTACCCCAGCAGACCTGAGAGCATTCTGAAACAAACTCAACTTCCTGGTAAGCATTCAGTGCAGGCAGCCATTTATAGGCATTCAAACACTAACATACTGACATACTGTTTATGCTTCAAGAAAAACAAAACAAGAAAAAGGGGACGTGTGGATGATAATGATGATGATTCCAGCCCATTTTCTTATTACACAGTGCGGATGAACTGAAGCCCAAAATTAGTTCGCCTCAACTGTACGTGTAATACTCCCTTTGGCCTCCTGTTTTCCTCCTCTACTCCTATTCACAGCGCCGAATCAGCGGTCGTTTATAACCAGGGTCAGCTGCCGGTCAGTCTACCTGCGCTCACTCCACGCGCGGTGTTACATACCACGGCAATTTTACACAGTTTTGTTTCAACGCTCACGAATGAAAGCATGATTATCAATATACACATACTGTTCCATCTTTGAGTTTCTTCTTTCAATGCACAGTTTGTGAAAACGGAACGAAGATATCTAGTATAGTTTTTTAACTGCAAGTGATCAAATACAGCCGAGAAAGGGAGGCTGGCTGCGATTTCACCTTTGACCCTCGCTATCCATTAATCCTGATTGTGTATCACGCGCGAGGTGGGATGAAGGCGGCGGTGGTATGAGTGGCACAGCGGGAAGTGGTACGCACAGGCAGTGTGTAGGCCTAGTGTGCTGTATCGTGACAGGCCGTCTAAATTAAGTTTTCATTTCCCATTCGACCACAAAACAAACACAAACAAGCGAACAAAAACTACAATGGCGGGTGTTTAAGTCTAAATAACAGTGCACACTTTTGCGCGACCGCTATAGGCTTACTTACAAACAAAGGGAAATAGCACGGGAAATTTTCTACATGAAAATCTCTGGATTATGTCTACTTCGCACTCAAGCACGCTTAAGCTTTCTCCCGACGACCATGCTTAAAGCCGGCATGGACTGTATCTACTTACCAAAGGACATCGTTGTTGGAAGATTAGCAATCCACATTTTTGCATTTTCGTTTAACAGCCAAATTCGTCGGGCTTGTGATGAAATTCTCATTGCAGTATCCTTCATAAAATTAATGACACAGATCTCTTAACACATTTTGTACCGTAGATCTATGGCGCCGTGGTTGTTTTCTCGGTGCCTGCTGTGAAGATGCTTTCTGGTTCTTAAAGTATCGTAGTTTTTCCGTATTGTTTACGATGCCTTGAACCCACTTTTCAATTTTTAAAATAGACTGGTGGCAGCTTTCGGTTCCTTTTTCTTCCAGCGGGCCCAAACCAAAGCCGTATTGTGTTATGGATGGAATGCAGTGTTGTTCTAAATTGCGCTGTTTGTGGATTTTCTTTTTTGGAAAATGTCTTCTGTACAGCTTCATGTTCGTGTCTATTGCTGTCTGAATTCCTGAAATAGAGGCTTTCTGAATAGGTGCACTCTGTGAGATGCCATTATGAATTTGACTGTATGCTTGGTTGAGAAAGTCGAAAATCAAACCTAAAGAGTGTTCTTTGTCAACAATGATTGGATGATAAAATACCCCTTGGCAGTGACTCATATGTCCTAGCCTTTCTTATCAGCCTCTGTTGTACTTTAGTCACGTTCTTACACCCGCAAACACGACAAAGTTCATTCTGGGAGGAGAAACGTCTCCCGTGTGTGTGTTCCATAGGGAGATTTCAGTAAACCTGTTAGAAATGAATCCCGGGCAGATGGATTCTACCTCATATCGTAACACGGCTCAATCAACGAAGATGAAAATTATACACATTAAGCACAAATATGTCTGCCTTTCATAGAACTAACAATCTATGAAATTAACGGAGAAGTGTTGAACTTAAAATAGCATAGAATCCAGAATGCACAATTGGACGGGTCAATTAACAAGGCACTGGATGAGAATCAGATGTAAACGACTGAATATTGCAAGAACTATTTTTCAAACAATGATGAAAATTAAACACGTAAAGCACAAATATGTCATCAGTGCATGTACCAAAATTTGTTGAGATTGAGCAAGCACTTTGGAAATTAAAAGTGAATTAAGTGCAGCACACACATATTAAATTCAATGAAATTCAGAACATTTTGCACACACTGTAACATCGGCACATATCGTTGCATTGAGATCAAGTTTTCGCAGACTGAGAGGGGGAATCTTGTTCTTTTCTTAGTATGGAATATTTCGTGGTTAGAGTGAGGATACTGCCAATATTTAGTGTCAAAAGTGTCGATTACGCCATGACCTGCCCGCCTGTAGCTGATGCGCAACGGAGCGGCCAGTGACCCCCGCGTAACCCGGCACGGAGCGGTTCCGACGGTGATTTAATGACTTCCAGATGTTGCTGGCCTGGGAAACTAAGAGGCACGATTTCGGCCAGTTTTCGGCGCTGTGTATTCCTCCTCCCTCTCCTCCTCCTCGTCGTCCTCTCAAAAGAAGTCCCATTCAACAGCTGGTATAATAGTATAATAATAATACCTCCTTTTCATCTCCTTTTTTACTCCTCCTCCTCTTCTTCCATGTCATCCTCCTCTTCCTCAACCTCATCCTCCTCTTCCTTCTCCTCCTCCTGTTCTTACCTATTCTCCTCCTCCTCCTCAACAACAATATCCTGCCCTCCCGAATCCCACTCACTGTACTGACCTCCATGTTCACATAGCTCTCCTCCTCCTCCTCCTCCTCCTCCTCCTCCTCCTCCTCCTCCTCCTCCTCAATATCAATATCATGCCCCCCCCTCCTTTTTTACTCCTCCTCCTCTTCTTCCGTGTCATCCTCCTCTTCCTCAACCTCATCCTCCTCATTCTCCTCCTCTTCCTTCTCCTCCTCCTGTTCTTACCCATTCTCCTCCTCCTCCTCAATAACAATATCCTGCCCTCCCGAATCCCCCTCCCTGTACTAACCTCCATGTTCACATAGCCCTCCGGCTCCGCAGAACTAGCCCGAGCGTTCATATACAAATCATCCACTTCATCAGCTGAAGAGAGAAAAGTTCAGATCATGTGATCGGATGGCCTTTTGCGCCTTGGCAGACGATCTTAAAAAAATAATATACATGATACAGTGGAAATCAGATTCAACGAAGTCGTCGGGCCTCCACTTCAATTTGTTGAATCTGAGTGTTCGCTATTGCAAACTGGTGGTTTTTTGTAATAGATAATTACATGCACCGAGCAAGTAGTGTTGTAAAGGAAAATAACGAGTGGTAGGTGACCCTAAAATGCCTGCTTTTTTTTGCCTCTTTTCCATTTCCTCAATCAAAAGTAGTTTGGTTTCAAACGAGAGGCATTTTCATTTTGTTGATGCCACATCGAAGAAGGTCTGGAAAATAACAGGAAACGGCGCTGAACTCTACCAAGTACACACTGTGCCAAAGGGCTGATTCCTTCAAATGCACGGCTGTGTCATCTATGACATACTGTTTGCCAAACAAGTTGTGTTGCTGTAGAGAGCCTAGCATACGGCAATGTTTCATTCTTCCGACCAACGGGCAACTAATTCTGGGACGTAGGTTTGATATCAATTACAGCAATAAAATATTTCTGCACAGATCTACAGATTGAACTCACCCTGGGAATTTTCCCTTTCGGGTAACAGGCTTGTGTAAGGATCTGAAAAGAAAAAGAGGGGGGGGGGGGGGGGGGGGGAGTTCAAGTACTTTTAAGGGCAGGTTGCAGAGAAGACCAGAATCTAGAGAACTCTCACCATTTCTATAAATCCTAAGGTAGTTATATGTATTGAGTACTAAGTATTTTTTGTGAAAAAACTGTTTCTGCTAAAAATTGAAAATTTTTGCGTAGTAATGAGCCGTTATTATAAATAAATACAATCACACATGTCTTGCAGAAAATAATCTTTTAGAATGTTATCAGTCGGCCTACAGAGCGTTTCATAACACAGAGACTGCACTTTTAAAAGTCCAGAATGACCTCCTTTGTGAAGCAGACGAAGGCAAAGTGTCTGTTCTTGCCTTACTCGATCTAAGTGCTGCATTTGATACCATCGATCATTCAATTTTGATCAGGAGGTTAGGCCATAGCTTCGGCTTATCAGGGACTTTTTTTGAATGGTTGGAGTCCTATTTGTTTAATTGTACACAGCCTGTACTTGTAAATGGGGAAATGTCATCCATTTTATGCTTACAATTTGGCATGCCTCAAGGGTGCGTACTCTGACCACTCTTATACACTCTATATATACAAAGTCCTTAGGTTCAATAATTAGGAAGCACGACGTTAACTACCAAATGTACGCAGACGGCACTCAGCTGTACAAGTCTGTTTTACCAACAAATTTCAATTGTCTAGTTACCAACATGGAAAAATGTATTTTTGAGGTAAAAAACTTGATGATATCAAACGGACTTAAAATGAATGATGATAAGACCGAAGTTTTGTTTTGCAATGCCAAACCAGGAATATTGCTTTGCAATTTTGACCATAATGATAACATCTTTTTCACAGATAAAGTGAAAAATCTAGGCGTTTATTTTGACTGCAAACTCTCTATGCACCATCATATAAACCATCTATGTAAAGTAATTTATTTAGAACTACGTAGAATAGGACAAATATCAACATATCTCTTCTTTTGTCCTTTCATGTCTAGACTACAGCAATTCTTTGTTTGGAAACCTTCCCACTGAAACGTTAAATAGGTTACAGCGACTCCAGAACCAAGCTGCTCGCATAATTTTAAAGAAATCTTGCAAAGAGCATATAACACCAATGCTTATTCAACTACATTGGCTCCCGGAGAAAGCACGAATTCAGTACAAAATAATTGTTCTTTGTTTTAAGTGAGTCAATAACATAGCACCATCATATCTTTGTGACATGGTCATCGAATATATACCATCTAGGCCTTTAAGATTGGCGACGAAAAGACTTTTAAGACCTGTCCAAAGCAAAAGTCAGAGACTCGGAGGGAGAGCTTTTTCACACCATGCCCCCTCCCTGTGGAATGCTTTACCAGCTCATCAACAGGAGTCTACAACTTTATCAAAATTTAAATCAGTGCTTAAAACGCATTTGTTTCAGTCCAGCTTCAATCTGTAATTTCCTACATTCCCAATACAAATATTATGTTCTCTGAGTATCTATTATGTTCTCTCATTATCGTTTATTCATGCTGTACTGTTCTGTAAGAATTTATGACTGTGTGAATTCATCAATGTGTGCGAGGGTGTATGGGTAAGCTTTGTGGGATTGTCTTTACTCAAGGATGTACAGGAAAGAGAGAGAGAGAGAGAGAGAAAGAGACAGAGAAAGAGACAGAGACAGAGTGAGAGAGAGAGAGAAAGAGGATTACTATAGGAGTTGTGCGCTGCATATGTTTTTTTGTATTATTGTACAGCGCATTGAGCACTTTTTGTGTGGAAATGCACTATATAAATGCAATTTATTATTTATCATTTATTATTTTTAAGAATTTACTCTATTAGCCTGATTGTTGCATAGATGTAGATCAGGTCCATATATCTATGCTTTGGAGCAAACTCATTGCAATCCGCTGGGAACTTTATTTTTAACAATTTTTTTCTTGTATCATAGCTCGGATTTTCGGAAATTATGGGAGGTAAAATATACTGATTATGGGTCAAAACTTTTATAAATTGCTTAGATTCTCTCAAAATTGAAAATAAGTCATCCAAATGTATAAAACCGACAGCCTTCCCTCAAGTACTCACGTCAACGTTAATTTTGTCAATAGCTTTTTAACCCTATCCGTACGCCCTGGGGTCATTTTGTACCCTCGGGGTTGTATTCTTCACATTTTAGAACACTTCTAGTGCGAAGATCTCTTTGAAGCTTTCAGTATTTCTCAAAAAGCCATTTTGACAGACTGCTACGCAAATCGTACGGATTGGATTAACGAGTACATTTCCTCTTTGGAAAGTCAACACTGAGTTCCCCATATCGTATGGATATGATAGTAAACTAAAACACAACGTACTGATAGGGTTAGTTTACAAAAATTACTAAGGCATTGTAGTGTTCCTTAAAGATTGAATTCACCAGGAACGAGAAAGATATTAAGGCCCAAATGTGTTTAGAAAAGGGACTTAGATTCAGACCGAGAAAAAAAAAAGACTATAGCCCAGGACAGAAGAAGATAGAGAGCTCTTGTTGGTGGCCTATATTTCTCTACTCCCCCCTCATTTTCTCTACTGCTCCCTGCTCTTTCTCTACTGCCCCCCCCCCCTTATCCTGTATACTCCCCCCCCCCCCCCCCCCTCTCTTCATGCCTCCCCTCCCCCTTTCTCAGCATGGGATGAGAAAGGATGCTGCTGAGGATGATGATGATGATGATAATGATGACGATGATGATTACTGTGGGGTTCCCAAAAGGCCAGGAAAGTTCACACAGTGAGCAATTTTACCGGAAACAAAAGCGACACTATCTAGGGCCGGAAGCACGTCATAAGCTCCAGCAGGGTCTATGATCCGAACTTGACCTTCCTGCCCCGCCCTTGACCTTGGTGCAGAGGCAGAAACATTATAATAGGGGCTAGTGTCAGTGTTTGCCTGCGGAGCCTCAGGTTGGACGATTTCTGCCATAGTGCTCATGATCAGGACGTGGGTGTGAATGTTGCTCGCCGGCATGGATGTTGCATCATCGTACGAATGTTCGTATTCGCCGTCTGTGGGAAAAGAACCAAAAACAATAGCGAGAAATTTCAATTAGATCTCTACCCCCACCCTCATCCAAAGCTTGACACATGCACACAAGCACACAAGCACACATGCTTGAATGCACCCTCTCAAGCACGCACGCACGTACAAACTAAAAATGGATGTAAATGCTCTACTCTCACATCAACAGAGTTTTCTTTGTTTAGAAATTATATGACTATGTTTCTAGGCTGACAAATAATTATAAAACATGCTCACAAACAAACACAATACCTCTGAGAGAATGAGTAGTGACGGAAGCTGTTTATTTATTTACAAGTGGGTCTCCTTTCGACATAGACGCGCTACAACACAGTTGTCCAATTCGGTAAAAGCTATTGATGTACACTCATCACAAGTTCCAACCTACCAGCGGAGAGAGACGGTGAAGCAATGGGGATTTTTGTCATAGTACTCTTGATCGGGAAATGGGTGTGAATGTTGCTCGCCGGTATTTCATCTGGTACGTCGTACGGATTTTCGTATTCGTGGTCTGCTGGTAAAGAACACAAAACAATAGCGAGAAATTTAACTAGATCTCTACCCCCACCCTCAACCCCAGCCTCACACATGCACACAGGCTCAGACGCACACATGCATGCACACGCACACGCATGCACAAACTAAAAATGGACGTTAATGCTCTCCTCTCACATCAACACGATTTTCTTTGTTTAGAAAAGATATGACTCTACTACAACACTGTCTGCCAGGGCCAACCTACCAGAGGAGAGAGACGCCGAAGCAATGGAATTAGAATAAATTTCTCCCTCACTGATATCGAACCCAGGTCTTTTGCACGAACTAGCAAATCACCTAAAATTTTTACATAAAAGACATTTACTTATCTGAATGTTTCAATTTCCTAAGGAGTTAGTAATTGTTTAATATGATACCTCCATATTTGTCGGAAAATGTCCAATGTATCTGCCGAGGAGAATATAATTTCTTAAGTGAAATAGAAGAAATGAGGATTAAGATGACTCATGGCTTTTGTTATAGCTAGAGAAACCGATTCTGGCACAGGAGAGCTCGTCCCATTTTGAGCGTTTAGGAGCTTAAATTTTTACTACCTGGTAAAGCATCATTTTCCTCTATTCCTTTTGTATGTTTGTCACAATCTTGTGACCCACTATTTTCGGGGTGCCTTGATAGTCGAAGCAGACTTTGTTTTGTTGAAGCTAGAGAGGTGAGCAGAGTAAGTCTGATTCCCTGTAAGGACTTCTCTGTTGACATCCACCCCTTGGCACTCATATGACCTTATGCAGTTGCGAGCGCCGAAAAACCTCTACTAAAACAAACAAAAGCTGAAATCATCTGTACACAAGGTTAATACAAGGTCAAGGTAAAATCATATAAACACAAGGTCAAGGTGAAATCATCAGTACACAAGGTCAAGGTGAAATCATCTCACATGAAGGGAATGTTGTAAAAATGGATTTCCATTATTTCTTTTTCTCCTGCTTTTGTCCTAATTTCTTACCTATGCCGTTTATTAACGTGCTCCATAGTTAAAGTTGTTTTTTTCTTTACCTGTATTTTTTTTGGTGCTGTTTACGAATTTCAAAACTGTTACCCCCCCCCCCCCCCCCCCAAAAAAAAAGAACCCATTATTTCTTTTGAGTGCTATTTACAAGTTTTAAGATTTGAAGACATTGTTCTATTGCTATTTCTACCCTTTTATGGTTTTAATTTTACACCTCAAAAGTGGGCCGGCTATAAATAATTTTTTTAATTTGGCTGACTTTAGTGAGTGTGGTGACACAATTAAGATAATCTAGGAGGCTGGCTGCTTTGGTCACACTTGTATGCTTTCCAGGTGTAGAGATTGTTTCAGAATGTTATCAGGTCTGCTGGGGTAATAATATAGATTGTAAAGTGAGTTGAGCAGGAATTTGCGCAATACAAATGCTCTCTACTATTATTATTAACGGCTAAACCGGGCTGAGAAGGACACATCGTCCTAGAAGAAAGACAGAGATATCTGTGTCCTGGATTTGATCTGGTCGGTTCTGTGTCTAAAGATGTTCTGTTTTTTTCATTGAATACATTTCAGTGAGTGCAACAACACAAACCACAGTTATGTCAACACTGTCATTATTTTTAAAAATAAAGGAGTTTGTACAATTTTACAGAAGGGCCAAAAGCCTGAATATTGTTACAGAGAAAACTAACTCTATGCAAACATCCTCAGTCAACATTTTTGAGAAAACAATTTTGATAATAACTTCCTTATTATCTTTAAAGCAAATGTTTTCATGGTAACAACCTTTAGGTTTGTCTCTCCCAAAGGGGTCATATACAGTACTATTAATAACCTCTTTGAGCTCTACTGTATAATTGTAAAAACTGCATATACAGTATTTAAAAAAATGATGGCAAGACAGCGATCAAATGAAAGACAAACAAATCCCCCACCTGAAGTGTTGCCTGTCTCAGTCGGTTGAACTTTGACCTGCCGTGGGTCATCTACTGGTTCCATGACCAATGCCGCATCCCTGGGATAGGTGGACGGGTCATCTTGGGAGAGCCTGTCTGAATGCCGGCATGTGGGAAAGAATACTGAGTTATTTTGTTTGTTTTCGCTGAAATTAAATATTCTATAGCGCACCCCGTTGGGCTTTGAAGTTTTCAACTATCATCGGCATGCTGTTGGAAGGTTTAAAGTCCAGAAAGCAACATTTTTCAGGGGAAAAAAGACTCTTTCGTCCTTTTGAAAATTCTTCCCACACTTCCAAAGTTCTTGTTGTTTTTGTTTCGTTTGTTTTTTTATGTTCAGCTGGAGCCTGACTGTGTTTGTGATAGTGACGTTATTCACATTATATATTATGTTTGTTGGGGTTTATTTTTGTTTGTTCGTTTGTTTGTGGTTGTTTGTTTGTTTGTTGTTGTTTTTTTGGGGGGTGTCATTTTTATTTAGATCATAAATAGAGCAAAAGTAAACCCTTCGCTTAAATTTGTATTCCAAGTCTAAACGCTGGGGTTTTGAGTTGTGAACGGGTATTGCTGGAGTGTGCGGCCTCAATGAGATTAAAAGCAAAAACAACAACAACAGCAGATGCAACAACAACAATTTACTACAACAACACAAACAATAACAATGACTACAACTACGACAACAACTTTTACAACAACAAACATACAAACAAACAAACAAGCTTTGTTTTAAATAAACCACACTTCCAGAACAAACGACGATATTTTTCACTCTCTGGCTTTGGGCTGATAGACACACACTCACATGCTATTGGATTACCAAAAACAACAACAACAACAACAAAAATGGCACCATCAACAACTACAACAACAACAATAGCAAACACAATAACATCAACAATAACAACAACTCTATAACAAACACAATAATATCAACAAAAAACAACAATGACAAACACAACAACATCAGCAGTAACAACATCATCTCTTTGGCTCACCAGCGGCTCTGTCCCTTCTTCTTCTCCTCCTCAGAACAATGGCCACGACAGCAGCGACAACGATGATGATGAGGATGACGATAACAATGCCAACAACAACAAAAATGACGGTGGGGGTGCTGTCTTCAGAATCACTTAATGCTTCCGCTCCAGTGGCTGGGGGTGGACAGAGAGGTTTTTTGTGGGGGGGTG